AATTCGTGGCCGGGACTGTACGGGTCGTGCGCGCGGGGTAATCGTTCGAACGGGCACGGAAACCAGGACTACAGGGGTAGGGGGCTGGAAAATGCGTAGGAAAAAACATAACGATGAGTGTACGCGTAAGATTAAAACGCTCGCGCGTATAAGTGCTGCCGCGCGGTGGGAGGGGATGGAAAACAAGAAGAAAGAACAATAATGGTAATGGTGCACAATGTACACGTTGTACGCATTAAAAAAAATACATATAAACAACACGGGAAAAACGAAGAGGAGTCGGGCGCACGGCGAACAATGGGTATAGGAAATACGCTTGCGTGTCTGCGCGCGCTCGCATATCATGTACACGCGTATGCGTAAGAAATAAAGCGGAATGGAAAAAAAAAAAAAAAAAACAAAAAGGGGGGGAAAAAAAACGAAACGAAATGAAGAATACGCGTAGAAATAACGTGTGCGCGTGCGTACAAAAATACAGTCGCACAAATAAAACGGCCGAGTGAATTATTGCGGTATTCGTACAAATACGAGATTCAAAGAGAACTGCCGGTGGGTCGCGGGGGTCGAACGGCAGGGCCGGAGGTGTCGTCGTCCACTTGCGGTCTCGCGCATTTGCATGAACAATGACACGAACCGGCTACCGGATTCCCGAGCGCGCGCTGCGGCTGCGATCTGGACGACGACCGTGCGTGGGTCGAACATCCCGGCCCCGTACGTAGAGACCCGCGTCGTAAAATATTACGGGAAAAATAATAAATATATACGAACACGTATTATACGTACGCGGTGTATTGTAATGGCGTTCGAGCGAGCGACGTGTAGGCGCGCGGTCTCCTCGGCCCGACGGTCCGCGGCGGGACGCTGTTCCGTCGGGTTTCCGATCGCGACGGAGGATCGACCGGACTTCATAGGCGCGACTATGGGGGGAGGGTATTATCCCCCCTAAATATTTCCCTCCCAGGCGAAAAATATTGAAGCACTACTTGGCAACCTTGAGTATAGATTCTCCGTAGAGAGTTAGAGACACTCATGGCTCAAGCTCAGTTGACTGTTTTGTTAGGAACGGATTTTATCGGAAGCTTATAAATCATCGCAAGGTTAATATTATATTTTTCTAAATGAATTTATTGTAATATTTAATTTTTTTTTTTTTTTTTTAGGATGTTTTAATAATAGATAATCATGCTTTAAAATCAGAAACTACAGTAGCAAAAAACTACATGGAAACTATCAAACCTGATTTTGATATCAATGATATTAGCAAAGTGATCGAAAACCATGTTTATCCCAATGTATAAGTTATTACGAGTAGCAGTAAGTAGTCCCTTAAGCGCAGCTACGTGCGAAAGATCGTTTTCTTCTATGAGGCGTATCAAAAATTGGTTACGAACCAAAATCGCGGCGAAACCCGTACACCCGGTATTGAATTGTCGGATGTTGGTCGAGACGTTTAAGTGCGCATTGTGCACGGACGTTCAATACGGTTTTCCGAACGTTTGGCTCCTCCGACGACGACGTGCGCAGAACGAATTTTTAAAAATATCAAAACCGCAGAAAACAGTATATGGTGGATGCGGTGTGCTGCCGATCGTACATTGGACATTTTTAAACCGTTTAGCGTTCCGCGGCATGAAGAAACTCGGGACCGCACAATCGCATTGTTTGTCGAAAAACCTCGTTAAGGTTATTTTCGGACGGTTCGTCGCAAACAAATTCCGACAAGTAATGTGTAAAGGGGAAAAAATAGACGATTTTTTTATTGTGCATTATGAATGTTTGATTGAAAACATGTAAATTTAAAATAACACTCTTTGTTTATACTCCGATATACACTCCCGTGACACTATGTATTAACTATAATTGCTCCGTGGCTTTAGCGGTGCGAATATTTCTTATAATATATATATATATATATTCTTATAATATCGTCTTCGTTCGAATATTATTACCCATTTGATTTAACTGCACCCGTCATGCGCAGTATAAGTGTAGTTTAAACGCAAACACATAAATTAAGATAAAACAAAGCCGATACTCAATCGTACTTCCTACTGAATAAGAAAAGGATAGTATGGTACACTATAAAAAATACGATTTAAGAATGAATCGTGGTTGCATTGTTCGGTATTTATTTTTTTTTTTCATTTTATATTTCATGTGCGCAAGGTATATGCACTACCAAAGACGTGTGTGGTTCGTGACCAGAGGTCGATTTTCGAGATCAAATGAGTGTATGGAAAAAAATATGGCTCCATCGCTGTGCTGAATAATAAGGCGATCCGAAACAAGACATGTTTCCAAGAGAATAGAGACACACACGAACTTGAATTTACGCACGAGAAGATCAAAAACATATGCACATCTTTCGCTCGGATTACTACTACTGTACGCCACATATAGTTATCAGCTTCTGGAGAACGCGGTTTGTTACAGCTGAGCAGTGCAACATTATTTTGATTTTGAAAGTCGTTTTGGCGAAATTTTCGTTACGACTACGAATTTCATCCGTAGAGTTTTCATCCGTAGGATGGACGTTTGTAATACTGTTGTACAAATAAAATAATAATCGTTTTACTGCGAACTCGATCCCAACGTCGACCAATCGGGTTCCGACAGCGTTGGTGTTTCCCCGTGCGCTTTTTGGCCAATGTTACCGTTACCCATTTAACTTTACGATCTTTGTCGTATCTAAAATACAATATTGCGCTAAACACTGAACGTTGAATCCCACAGATTGTGATGTTTTCATCTAAATACATTAGAAATAAGCCGCGACGTCCGCTCAAGTTGCTTCCCGTCACGGCGCACACGTTCCGCGTAGACAGGTCAATAAGGTGTGGTATGTCCGATTGGCTATTACGACCGCTGACAGTCAATATATGCTGCCTATTGGTTGTGATCACGTCCGTATAATAAATATCCGCTCTGCTGGATCATTTATACCAATTGAAACGACGTTTGTGTTCGCTTCTGGACTTGTTCTATCAGTCACAACGATTATTTCTGCTGGACATGAAGATATGCATTTTATCTTGGCTAGTGCTGGACCATTCACGTGTTGGACATTTATTACGTTTGTTATCGCAGTGGCAGAATAACGGTAAACATTATTCGTGTACCCACACAGCGAGATATTCACGTGTAACAGAGGCACACGCCTCGAGTTTTTATATCCATTGTTAATTATACTATTATTTGATTATTTTTTTTTCTTCTTCTCTTGTGCCGCGACGAGGCTGCGTTTTTGTTGTCCTCACGTTTCGCGTTCAAAACAAATAAATTATTAAAGTTTTCAAAACATGGCGTATAATTAACCGTACGCCGTCGTTTCGCATATAATCCTGGTTATTCGTTACCGAGCCCGGCACAAGGGGTAGGCGACATAGGCAACACGTCTAGGACGGTATTTAACATTTTTATACTATTGATAATTTAAAAAAAATAAGTTACAATTCCTAGTCATATACAATTATGTTAAGAAAAAAAAAGAATCTTCACGTTGTTTTGTTTTATTTAAATTAATAGTGGTTTACTTGTCTAAAAACGTATTTATCTAATCAATTGTTAACTTTACATTAATAAATATAATGAACTCGGAATTAAGTATATTTTAAATATTGTTTATGTAAAAAAAAAAACATCTGATGTAGTATTCACGTGTTAGGGGTGACGAAACTTAAATCTGCCTAGGTTTAATTAAACATTTGAGCCTGGACTGTTAGTTACGGCCAACAAATACAGGTACGAATGTCGTCTCATATTCAAACCGTCACTCATATGTCCCGTAAATTGTTCCCCCTAAATGCTAAGCGCTTATATTATGTGATCAACAAATACTCATAGGCAAGCGCACGGGGGGGGGGGGTAGCCCGCCTCTGCGGACTCTGGCTTTTTCTTTAATAAATGTATATCTATACTATACAAGATACCGAACATTTTTACATTTTACATGAATAAAGTAAAGCCAGTTTTAATCTCATAGTATAGAATTGATATCTGTGAATAAATGTAATAAAGTTATTAGTTATTAATCAGACTAATCAGAACATGCATATACCCTGCGGACAAAGTCTGCGTACGCCTATGCGAATATATTCACCTCTATATCTACTCTTGCTGCGATTTGTAACATACACACAAACGTACACTTATTTTATTTTTATTTTTTCTGATCCTCGGCGACATAGATGTTCGATTCTAGTAAGTTTTTCGTTTACATCACAAATAGGGTTAACGTATTTTACTTCGCGAAAACCAGGACAAAAACATTTTTATTCTATAATTTGTATGGAAAATAATCGTACCCGTTCCTCCTTTTGCATCGCTAACCTCCAGTATTGCACGACTTAAAGTAATTAAAAATACGAACAAATATAAATATTATATTTTTATTTTTTTAAATTTTTTTTTCGTAGCAACTCAAAATTAGTGTAAGAATTTTGGATTAAAACCAAATGCTTATGCAATAGCTTTCTGGATGCGATAAAATCTCATAAGAATTCTTATCTTTTTAACACGCAGATATTTGAGGTACTCGTATATACATTTTTCAAATGTAAAATATAATTTTTAATAGACAAAACTTCTTGAGAACGTAATGCTGAATGTCTCGTACAACGTATCTGTATAAACGGTGACGGGTATGCCCACGCGCAAGTGCCGCGAAATCACAATCGATCACCCCAAATCGTATCCGTTGTATTCGCGCACCGGTAAAATACGTGTCGGTAACATTTTAGTAAAAGCCGGCCGGCTGCATGTGTACGCGCTGGGATACGTAAACGTTTGGTTAGCAACGCCGTAGCTTAGCGACTGCCGTCGACGTTGTTATACCGTTCGACCGTTTTGCGCTGCATTCCGATTACCGCGACCGACCGAGATCACTCTTTTTAGATATTCTCGTTCGATTGCCGCTCTACGAATTTCTACGAGTCTCTACGAATTCACCACCAGTACTTGTGCTCGCCATCGAGTGTTTCGTTCCAGTCGGTAGTACCGAAATGATCGTCTTCGTTCAAGCGTTGCTGGTCACGTGCGCCTGGACGCTGGTGGGCGCGGGCATCACGGATCTGACGCCGTGCCCGCCGTCCGTGTTCAGGGACGCGTCGCGCGGCAAATCCGTCGGCGGCGACACGTACCGCAAGAGGATCGCCGACCGCTGTTCGAAGGTCGGCCGGGCGCAGCAGCAGCAGCAGCGCCCGGTGACGATGATGATGATGATGATCTCTCAGCCCTTCGTCTGGCCGCGATTGCGATGGCCGTTGACCGCTGATGACCGTTCGCCGGCCACGCCACCGTACGCCGCCGAACCGGTCGTGGCATCGCGTCCCGTCAAGGCCAAGCGTACCGTCGTCGAACGCCGAGTGGTCGTCAATCTGCCCGGCTACGTTGTCAACCTACAGCTACGGTCGCGGCCGCCGCCGGTTCACCGTACAAGCACCACCGCCTCCGCCAGTTTTGCCAGGACGCAGAGGCCACCGTGCACCACCACCACTTGCGGTGCGACGACGTACAGGCCACCGCCGTCCAGTACTCCGTCTACGTGCACTACCGTTTGCGCTGCGACGCCCACTACCCCGTCACCGACACCACCGGCCACTACACCGTCGACGTGCACCACCACTTGCACTCCGACGCACACGTCACCGGCACCACCGGCCACTACACCGTCGACGTGCACCACCACTTGCACTGCGACGCACACTTCACCGACATCACCACCCACTACCCCGTCGCCGACACTACCGCCCACTACCCCGTCGACGTGCACCACCGCTTGCGCTGAAACGCACACGTCGCCGACACCACCATCGACTACCCCGTCGACGTGCACCACCACTTGCGCTGTGACGCACACGTCGACAACACCACCGCCCACTAAACCGTCGACGTGCACCACCACATGCGCTGAGACACGAACACCACCATCATTACCGACAATAACGTCTACGTTACGTTTCGGCTCTTCGGATTTTTCGCAGACAAAGCCGAACCCATGGATGCGGACGACGGTTTCTTGTTGTCCGCATCGGATAGTCTCGGAAAACTCGTGGCCATGGCGGGTGCAACCGTGGCCAATGCAAAGCACCCCACCAGCGCCATCGTGGACCCAGGGAAATCAGCATCCCTTTTCGGTCCAATGGCCGCAAGTACAGGTCCTCGACAGAACAGGATAGGTCGATCGACGTGATGCTAACAGCTTTGGCAGGGCGCACACCGAACGAGTGACACTGTTTGAAAATTCTTTGGAGGCAATTGCAATACGTGTAAAGTAATTGATTTTTTTTTTTTGTTTTCTGTACGTTTAATTAACTCTTGTGTCCAAATTTTACGTTTTTTATTGACATTTATTTCACTGTTAAAAAAAATAAATAAATACCACTAAAGAGGTTTAAAAAATTGTCTTCGTTAGAACCAATGGTGGGTAAACTAAAGAACTCTGTCCGGTAAATAACTGTGTAACAGGTTCGTTCGATGTATTATAATAAATATAGTATACATAGTTATTTAATAATTATATTTAATTTAATAAGCATCTGAAAAGTAACAGTTTACAGCCTTAAAATCACAAAATATGACGTTCGACCCGCCGGGAACTTTACCGGTATCTCGGTGAGCAAATCCGTCTCTGATCTGAACTCTTCTTGACGTCTGGTGTTATAGCAAAAATTAATTATAAATTAATAAATGTTTGTTTTGTTTTGTTTGGTATTGTCAGTGAGAAAAATTAAAAATTAAAATTTTGTTCCGAGCTATTTGGAGCAAAATGTTCCGAACAATTTAGCTCTTTCAATGTGCGCCCGGCCTTAGTTAGCCCTTAGTTAGGGCTTAAGTCCCAACTATTTTTGGTTTTATTGTTTTTATTTTATTTATTTATTTATTTTTTTTTTTTTTATCGGCGAATGTGGGGTGTCACAAGCATGAAAATCTTAAGTAAAAAAAACATGCCACGGTACGGGTTTCGGAGCCGTAATTGAATGGCACGAACATGTCTCCCGAGTACTGGTATTTAATGTTCTGTTTGTACCTATATTTAAAAATGTATGCACTTTTATAACCAAGTTTTCTAGGTGCAACCATCGTAATTGTCGACACAGTGCACCTCATCGCCGTCGCGGATCCAGGATAAGTGTAATGGCAGGCGTGAACCTGTAAGCTGCCGTTGTTTCTATTAACCGCTGTCTATTTATCGATCGAAAGTTAACGGAGCTTGTACTTGAACTTGTACCGATAGCAGAAGGACTTCTTCATAATTGTTATTATTTTTTTTCTATTTCTTTTAAATGTTCTACAATAACCGTTTATTAAACTTATGCCGACGGATTACCACGCAAAAAACCATTTATTTGTAACTATGTTGATTATCACTCGATAAAATAAATTTTTTATCCGGCATACTTCGCAAATAAGTGTTCTTGATTTTAACACCGTTGTTACGTTTTAATTCAAGGAGATTAATGTAATCATTTCCACGGTTCGCAACATGTGATTTTATCGTTACTACTAAAATAATATTACGACATGATATACATGATATATTGAGCATAAAATTATGGTTGCATCCGAGTTGCGGTCAGAGACGATTTTTAAGTTAAGGACATGTAACAGTTGTGGTCACGTGAATTGTAAGTAATATCCTGGTTGCGGTCATATACCTATTACTTATCTGTAAAGTTTGTAAATAAAATAAATAAAATTGTACAGTGGTGTACATATAACTTTTGTATAAGGGGGGGGGGGGGGATCAATTGTAAACAAATTATTATGGAAGAAAAATTCCTAAACCAAAGGACTTGCACATTCAAAATAAAAAATTATAAAATATAAATACGAGTATATTGAATGTGTCAAAATAATAATTTACAATAAATCCTTGAAATATTTTTTTGTTTCCTTATAATTTCCTTACATTAAGAATACTATTTTATACAATTTTTAAAAGCCCTATGGGGGGGATCTAACTCCCACATCGCCCCTTGTATACGCCCCTGCTATAGTAGTATAATCACGAACTAGATGATCACCAATCATTGGTACGACAAAAGATTAGTTACAGTGTTAAACGTAAAGCAGTGGAGCAGTTGAGCGAGCGTCCCTCAAAAATTTTTTATTCTGAGATGTCAAGTACAGTACTCAGAGTACTGGGGTCAAATGGCGTTACATTGATTAGAAAAAATATGCACACTGCAAGAATGAATGTTCACCCGAAGTTGCCGCGTGACTTTTCACAATTAATACTGTGATTTCAAACCTACACAATAAAAATAGTGTAGACAGTCCTAAGTCTGTTTATAAAATGGAAAAGAAAATATTGAAACTTTTTTGTAAATAAAATAGCATTGTATATACCATATATACTAGATATATATTTTGAGTGACCGCAACTGGTATGTAACCTTTTTGTTGGGTGACCGCAACTAGTATACACCAGTGCTCAGGACTTATTTTTATCGTTAAATGTATCGCGTCGATCGCGGAAATAAGAAATTCCTTCAAATATTTCTTCAAATATATTTTTATTTTACTGTGACAAAGACCTTATAGAGGTTAAAATTTTTTTAATTAATTGTATGTACCAATAGTTATGACAAAATCAAGTACGTAATTTATAGTTTATATATTTTTTTAATTTATTTTTATTTTACAACATAAAATAAAATTTTCCTAGACATATTTTGTCTCCGGGACTCGACTTACCTACTACCTAATCTTTCGCGGGACCCGATTCACCTATATAAGATAATTTGAGACCCAATTTACCAACTTCCCCGAGGTCGGCCAGCCACCGCCCAACGGGCAGCCCATACGGACGTACGTTTACAGCTCTCGTCCGCGGCGCGAACGACGTTCGGTGTTTTCATTATCGCGTACCTGTTGCGCACCGCAAACACCGTACAGGTTTTTTTTTTTCGTCCAGTTCACGTACGCGTTTCGCGTCCGTTTATTTTTCATCCCGTCTCACGACCGCTGTTTCGCACGAGTTTACCGCAACGACAGCGGTGACGATAATACATTTTTTACATAGTGTAAACGTTTCCGTCAGGATATCATTACGACACGACCGTGTTCGGACCCGGCTCGAGGGGTAGGCGATATAGGCCCACGTCTAGGGCGGCGTTTAACATTTTAACGCTACGGATGGTAAAAAAAAAAAAACTTGTATCGAATTATTTCTATGGTAAAAAAAAAATATTCTATAAATTGTTTTGTTTTATTTGAATTCTTAGTGGTTCGGCTTGTCAGTACAAAAACGTGTTGATCTAATCAATTGTCAACTTTCCGTAAACAAATGAGACGAACTCAGAATCAAGTCTATACGGTATTGTTTGTGTAAAAATATATTTGATGCCAGTATGCAAATGTAAGGGTTATCGCGCCAAGGCGATTAAATTTTACAATACGCTTGACCCGTACTCGGAATACGTGCCCGTCGACATCGGAAAACAAGAACTCCGTTCTCTGAGACTGAACGACAACTATATTGAATCAGAAACCAAAATGCTTTGACGGTTTCAAATTCTAACGCAAATAATACGAAGATTTTGACAGCCAATAAATCTAAATAAATAAATTATAAATCGATACATTTGTTTAGTTATTTTATACAACAACGGGTTCGTGATTTTTTAATGGATTCGTTTGTACGACAATAGCACTGTGATCAATATCGACAATATTGACTTTGAACTATTTTGTTAGGCATATTTTATACCCAAGTCATTTTGACGAATAATTTTCAAAAAATTTACGAACAAGAAATGGCTATTTTCAATGTTTACAATTTTATTACATTTTTTTTTTTTTTTTTAAATCTAACTTAATTATATTTCTTGACGGTGACAGAAGGATTTGACGTTTCAAACATTCGTAGAACGTAAGATTACAGAAAAAAATATCGCATTGGAAATTATTCGATTCCGCGAAAATATATTAGGGACTTACGAGACACGCGACGGAATTCACTCGGTATTTTGCGTGTTCGTGGCGAAAATTTAAATATTTCATTCTATGAATCTCGATATAAACTAATATCGTCAAGTTCATCGGGCAACTTCGCCGCCCTCGCTTATTTAATAAATCAACCCAATATCATAGGGAACGAATTATGTTTCATTAAAACGCTCGTTTCGCCGAGACCGATCGTTGGAAACGTGACAACCGTTTGGTTACACGCTTGTGATGTGAATCGCTACTATTTATTTCAATCGCCTACGACTAAACCTGTTCTCTCATTTGCATAACACGGGATTAAACAAAAAAATATATCTGCAAAGTGACTACTCGTTTCCGCCAAACGTGCTAATCTATCATTGATTTGCAGTCTGCAGATAAAACTCTCGGCGAAACGTTCATAAATAATTATAACATCGCATCCTATCGGTGTTTTCCAAAACGATATGTTATAAATACTTTTCAAACGATTTACCAACATAATATCGCGTTACCCATGTGCCGCTTGACTGATCGTATAAACCGATTTTTCTACCGTATTCTACTTCTCCTTCGCCTTTCTCCCGACTATTTAAGGTCGGCCAACCTCGATTTTATTTTATTGTATTCGTAACATTAAATCAAATACATTTTATTTTCGGTTTACTAGTAGTTTTAGTTTTAAGACTGGTGTTTTATATTTGATCCGTACTACTACGTAAATGTACCGCACTCACATAATATACGTATATCTTGGAGTAACGCGGTGCAGTGCGCACGGGTGTTGTTGAACTCCACGGATTTGTAGAACCAGGGGATCGATTATTGAATTATGCGACAAACTTGTCGAATTTGATAATTTTATAGTTTGTGATAACGTTTTGTTGAATATGATATAAAATTCGTATTCTTGGACTAATATTATATATTTATATAAAATGTTATAATTTTTCAAGAATACTAACGATGTTATATCCTACGACTAATTTGCTTATCGTATTCGACAAAGTTTATCACTTTTCACGAATAGGCTCCCAGTAAGCTCTCCCGAATGATATGCCCTGGCGGATCTACTCCAGAAGTGTAAAGGGCATAAGTAATCTCTTCCAGATCTACTTTAGTATTCTCCAAATGGCATACGAATAATTATATAACATATGAGCCTGAAATAACTTCTTTAATATATAATTGTCGTTGAGAATGGAGAAAAATAGCAACAGTTGGGTGATTTAACTTAATGTGTTTG